ACAGTACCAAACAAAGCCTTAGGCAGCTATTGCTCTTTGGATAGTATTTGGTGATCGCGACATGTCTTGATGCTAGATTGTGTGCAAGTTACATAGGTTGTGTAAGGACAATAAGCATGCATGAGAGAAATGAAGAAAAATAATGTATAAATAGAATATCAAAAGAACATGGAGGAGTTTAGGTGGTTCATTAAACCCTTTTATATCCACAATTAAAAATAAATAAATAGCCCCTAATCTAAAGAGAAATATCTAAAATTATTTTTCTCTTATGTTCTTTCTCTAAAGTCAAACATGATATACATTTTTAAAGTAATTATTAAAAACGACAATTGTAGATGACGACTCCAAATTTCCAACTAACAGGATATTTTGTGAAGGCACATCAGCTTCATATGGAAAAATGAGGCTGAAATTAGGTGGCAGTAGCTCAGTGTTCATGGCGGACTAATCAATGCGAACGGCCACCAATATGAGCATTATTAATTTCATAACAAAACAATGACTCCACATAAAATATTATGTTCGAAGATTTGACAAATGAAAATATATGATATTCTGATTGTTCTTGAGTAATCAAGAGAATGATGGGTAGAAAAGTAAATTTTTTTGTTAAATGATAGTAATAAAATTAAACCAATCTTGTAAGAAAATAAAAGAAAATTAAGATAAGAATGTCCTAATTAAGTTTTAATTATTCTCATTAGATTTTTTATTTATTTAAAGAACATAGGCGAATAGAGACACCCCTCCCCCTCCCTCAAATAAACTACAAAATAGAATTGGAGATCAATATATGAATGATATATTTTGATTGCTTATATTGAAAATAAAAAATTATATTATGTTCATGATGAAATAATCATTCAACTTTTTTAAAATATAAAGAGTTGATATTATAAATTATAGGCTTTTATTATCTTCCATTTAATATTTATTTATTTTTAAAAAATAAATTAAAAAATAGATCCGCATGAAAAGAAAAAATTGAGGTAATATTTGAAAAAATTAACTTGAACCTCCCTCACTAGAAAAAATTTCTAACTCTTTCACTCTTAGAGTCTTAGAGATGTATATTATTTGTTCAAAATAAATTTTATAGATATCAATATCAAATAGGGTTTATAACTGTCAAAATAAATAATATTCCATTGCAAAAGTTAACGTCTTGCAAATTTTAATAATCTTTTTTTTGAAATATATTGGCGTATGCTAAACTGCCCATCTAGGCCGCCAGAAAACTGCTCGTAAGTATAGTTAGTCATGTGGCATGTGGCGATGTGTATGAAGCGTCTGCTAGGGTTTTGCCCCCTGCGGGCTTAGCCCGCCGCCTTCATCTTCTTCCGCCCCTTTCCGTCGAGGGGTTTAGCTATGGCGAAAAAGCTTTTGGATCCTGGATTCCTCGCTGGTAAGCATCCTAAATCGTTTAGGGATGCTTTGTCTGGTGATTCCATCATCTCTTTTCCGGATTTCCGCATATCTTCGAACCGAGGTATGCCATCCTTATGGTTCTCGGAAGAGGAATTTCTTCACCTTGCTAAACCGTTTGAATTTGCTTTGGTTGGGAGATTTCCTCTCAAACGCCCCACTTTAGATTCTATTCGTAAATTTTTTTTCGGTTTGAAATTATCAGGAGAATTTTCGGTCACTCTCTTAGATCAAACTAATGTTTTGATTAAGCTTCATAATGATTTGGATTATGCTAGGGTCTTTGCTCATAGATCTTACTTGGTTTTTGGGTGTTTCATGAAAGTTATTAAATGGTCCCCTGTTCTTGATCTTGCTGAGGAATCACCGGTTGTGCCTGTTTGCAGAAGTCCATAGATTTGGTCAAAGGATTATGTGGAGGTCGCTTTCTTGAACCTCGATAAAATTAAAATAATAATTTGTTGGCGATTGGTTTGAATAGAAAAAAATATTGGAAGGACCTATTTTTATCAGAAATCATAATGAGTTTTCATTAAATGTATTTAAATATAAATTTTAAATTTTTATGTGCTTTATAATATTTTTTATTTTTTTTTTAAATTGTTCTGAGTAAAATTCCATTAGAATTCATTGAAAGGTAAGGAAAAAAAAACATATTTAGCCATCCAAAAAAAGCTAAAACTCATCCATCCATTATTCCATTAATAATAATAATATTAATAAAAGAAATTAGTTTGCAAGAAAGTTAAGTTCCCTTTGCTTAAGAAAATCTCCTTTAAACAAAATAATCTTTTTTTTAATAATGCCAACATTTTTGCTTTTGTTGTAAGGTGTAATACAAAAATAAAAGTTTAATTTACAAATATATTTAATAATAATTGCTATCAGATAAAAATTTGTTTGGCATATTTTTTAATCAACTAATTGACAGGGTACTCATATTTTACAGAAAACTACTCTTCTTTCATATATTCATACTTGAAATCATTCTTAAAACTGCCCAAAGACTCAAAACTAACCTTTCAGCATTGAATTTAGGAGAAATTATAATGCGCGGACGCCGGACTCAGCTCTACGTCCGGAGGCAAATCAAGTACAACCATGTCAGTGATATCCAGCCGCGGTACCGAGCAATACCGAGCGAAGGGTGACGTGGTGCATTTTGATTGGTCTCCGGACAGTGCTCGGCATCCTCACAAAATAATTTTTCCGGCTTCAGTTCATCGATAAACCTTTTGGTGTCCATAGTTTTTTAAATTTCAGTTTCAATTGTGATTTCAGCTGATCTATTATTAAAAAATATTATTAAAATATATTTAACACATGAAATAAATAAGATTATTTAATAAAAAGATATTTACTATATGAAATGGAACAATATGAAAAATATCAACAAGTCTGAAACCAATCTAAATTGAATTGAAACTATTGAAACCCAAAATCATGTTAAAAAAATGCTGTTTTATAAAAAATTTTAATACTTTTATGTAAAAGATAAGAGACAAATTCTTGTACTAAAAAAATAACACTCAAGATCACTATTTTTCGTAAGATAAAAATGGGATTTTTAACAGTTTCTTACTGATTGGCATAATGTTTTATTCTTTGTCCGATACTCTCTGGATCAGGAAAAACTATTTTGTGCAGAAATCGGATGATGCGGAGGCTAATCAGAATGTGTAACGTTACCTAGTACACAGCAGTGCCGAGCACCGGTACCAAGCAAAAAAGTGAAGTGGCGCGCTCTGATTGATATCTGGATGCCGTCTGGGGTCCGCACACAATAATTTCTACTAGATAGATTTGAGATGTAACTTACTCAATCTTATTTGTTAGCCTACTCGGGTTAATCATGATAAATAGCTTGTGAGCCGAACTTTATAAACTAATAAATTAAGTTTAAGCTAACTATATATATGACTCAAATGTTTAACTCATGAGTATGCATGTTTAAAATATATTAATATGAAATATACTAAAATTGTAATAATATACAAAAGTTGAAGTGCAAAATTGATAAAAAAAAATTAAAATTATATTTAAGTAATTCCTTTTGTTTTATTTTTAATTTCTCAAACTTTTTATTATTTTATTTTATTAATTACTTAAATGATAATTATTTTCTACCATTCATATTAAATCAGCTGGATCGTGAATAAATTCAAACTCATAGAACTAAGTTGGAGCTCGAGCTCAAATTCTATTAATTAATTAAGTACAAGCTCAAGTTATGAGTGCCTAGCTCGAGCTCAACTAGACTCGTAGGGGTTTATATATATAACTCGACTCTCAAATATCCAAAACAAAAATTATTGGTTCGAGTCGGCCCGTTTAACAAACGGGTCGATTGGATTTAGGTTTAAGTTTTCGACCCGGTTAAAATTTTGGGTCAGGTTTGGGTTAACCCACAACCTCGAATGGAACCTATTGACCCATCATCGCTCGCATCTCAACCACTCGTCCCGTTTGGCACTCATCACACTCTCGTTTGCTACTCACACTTGCCTGCTCACTGCTCGCCATCATGCTGGCCCGCTCAACCTCGTCCTCGCTCACTCACTCAAGTTCATCTGTCGCACTCAACTGGGTTAGCAGGTCAGGTCGGGTTCGTGTCAAATTCAGGTCTAAATTTTTAACTTATATGGACAAACGTGTCAAGTTTAGATTAGATGTGTTAAGAACCGATTAATTTTAGATTTGACCCGAACCCAATCCCAAGAAAAACTTGTTTTGACAGGACTCTTTTACGCCTCAACTCGGGATATTTCTATCATTAGCTTGAAGCTTTTTTATTTTTATTGACTCGATAAATCTAAATATGAATGTACTTGAAAAAATATATAATTACTTCACATAATAGTATAATACCTTAATTTCTTGCTACAATAAATAAGCTGATTTGAAAATGTCTTTCCTGCTGTCACGAAATTGCACCGAAAAAGGCGAAAATACATAAATAATTAATGCTTTTTATCGCATCTTTCATTCACAAATCATAATTATATCAACCCATTAAAAAAAAAACAAAAACAGCTATAATTCATTAACAAACAATGCTTATTTAAACGAAAAATGTTCTATCTCCCACCCAAATAATCACATCAACACTATTTTTAAGTAAAAACCTAAGCTGTCGACTCGCAATCTCCTTGTATATTAAAAACATAAGCACATTTATTAAAAAATATATATATTAACTTACTAGGTTTGCGAAGCATTACATCTTGTATTAATGCTTCCCCTCTGCTGATTTGATCAAATCAAAATACACATTTTTTCCACATCTACACTCATCACAAAACAAAAAAGCATCTTATTCTTGATCTTTTTCGTGTCAACCATTTAACCTAATCGAGTAGCTATCGAAATCAGAATATTCTAATCAAAATAAATATCAAAATTATTAGATATACTATAAAATTAATAATATACTACATAAATAATAATTAAAATTCACTTCTCTCAAAATAAATTTAAAGACTTTGAGAAATGAATTTTTGTTAAATTTTTTTTTGCTAGAATAATATTTGGATCTCTCCAATTGCTGCTAATTCATATTATGAGATTCAATATACCAAACAAATTTAAAAATCACTTTGATTTTGAAACAACAAATCCTAACCATACTAATTACTAATAAAGAGTTTATGATTAATTTGCTTGCAAAACAAAACCTAATTACACACATGAAGTAACTGAAAAGGCTCCCATGCGCGCAGTTAATTTCAGGCTAAGAGACTCCTAGCTAATCAAGGCGAAAAACCAGTATCAAAGGACTTCCTCCTGACCAAAAGGCAAGTTATCTTGGAAGGATTAGCGTGCGTGTTATCAAGCGTGCAAAGAACAAAATCCGGGCGATGAAGCGCAAGGCTAAGCCTGTCCTGACCAACCTCAATCGCGCTTGCGTCCAGCAACACGTGCCACGAGTTGCGGTGTGCTTCGGAGACCCAATGCATCGAGTATCGCGTTCCCTTGACCTCTGCTGGGTAAGCAAATAGTCCCTTCGGGCTATATTTGCTTTTTCTGCGGAAGTATTGGCTTAGTTGAGATCCCTTGATCCTGAGATCAAGCCAGTCCGATGGCGCCGGAATCAGCTTTGAATCTTTGTAGGTGGCGAACTCTCGAATGCAATCGACATCCTCATCGATCACCGTCATGTAATAGTTGTATTTGAAGAAGGGGTAGCTCTCGCCGACGAGCATCATGGCGTCTTTATGCCCTGGCATGAAGAGGACAAGGTAGTCGTCGTCGCTTAGGCCGCAGTGCTGCAAAATGCGGTTGCGGGCTTGAATCTCGGGGATGGAGATGAAGCTTCCGGGGAAGGAGGATTTCTTGGTGAGGATGTCGAGGAGGCGAGAGGGTTCGAGTTGGGTGCGGTCGAGATCGGGGTGGCTGCCGCCGAGTGAAGGGGAAGGGGAGGGGTCACGGGATCCGAGAGGTGATCGACGGCGATCGTCGGGGGATGGAAGACCTCGCCGGCCGCCGGAGCTGGGGTCGCTGGAGTCGGTGCAGTAGATGGAATAGAGATCCGTCTTGTCGCTCTCTTCGATGAGGCCGTGGGAGTATTGGGGGTACTTGGCGAGCACATACTGTTCGACGTATTGCATCTCGGTGGGCGTGATCGGACCGGACCACCGCAGATCGAGCCCGTGAAGCGTTGACATGGCTTCCGCGACGATGTGGGGCGGGATGAACTCTCGAGGACACACTTTCTGGTTTGTTTCAAATCAAACATTGTACAAGTTGTTGATTGGATCGAAAAAGAAGATCATAGAGTGAGAAACTACAGAGAGGTATATATATTCATACGAACCTTAACAACCATGCTGTTAGGTCTGGTGCTCGGGAGAGGCAATTTGGGGAATGAGCTTAGGTTTGACTCATCGAAACCCTCTCCTTCCATGGCCTGCATCAGAGATTTTGGATAGAGATTGTAATTTTACAAAGACTGGACTGTGATTGAGTTGAATCGAACGACTGATTACGTGTGATCGAGCGTACCTTGGATTCCGGAAGGAGACGGATCTGAGCTTCGAGATTAGTTCTTCCCATGAACCGTCGATGCTCAACTGTATTTTAATCGAATCTGATAAAATGGGAGTAAAAGCGGAGGGAGAAGAGAGAAGAAGAGGAAAAGGAGAGTCTCCTTCGACGCAGCTGCGTGGATTGGTTTGAATTGGGTTGTTTTGGTAAGCAGAATAAAGATAATAGAGAATAGTGAGGACTGAGGAGGAGAACAGCTACGAGGAAAGCGACAACAGCAATACATATCGCCGGTGGAGGAATAAATTAATGAATGGAAGCAAATATAATGGCTGAATTTACCGTAGTTAACTCGTTATGGTCTGTTTCACGGCTGTTGCCTGTTGGATGTTCTTGCGAGCTCCAGGCTGGGATCTCCACGAAAATAATTAGACTCAATATTTTTTAGTGGGGAAGCTAATGAGAATGCTCAAAATAAACAAGAGAAGATTGTGTGATATATATTCATTTGAATTAAGGTTTTATTTTGAATAATTTTTTTGCAATTTTTATTAATAAAAAAAAATTGTTCTAAAATATTTTGTATAGAAAATTGAGTAGAAAATAGTAAGAAAAATATCTCAAATTAAACATGAATTAAACTTGAAGCAATTGAAATAATTGAAGAAATCACAACTCTATGTTAACATAAGCGTGTGTCGGTGCTTTTTTTCGATTTGAGGCAGATAGGCCAACTCATCGCCTATCTAACATTTAACATTGACATTTGCATTTGGTTAGCAACTAAAATGAAAGGAGTCAACAACAATTCCTCATGTTATCACTTAAGCATTGACATTTTAGCCAAGCAAACTAAAGAATTTGCCTAAGCACCATGCAACTTTGGTAGGTCCCATCCATCGTGTGGTTCAAAAGTTGCTAAAAGTTTATTTCTCGTAGTAGGTCAATTATTCAAATTAAACCTCAAATGTCATTATTGTATGAGAATCTAACAGTAAGTGGATGATGTGTGCCGACATTACAAATTTAAATTAGGCCTATTCCAGGTATAGCAACTATGGTATATGAAGTGAAGCTCTTATCAACACAATAATCAATTTTCTTGTGAAGAGTTTCCTTGATGCTTTTTTAGCATACAACTAAATCAAAATGAATGCAACTTACCCAACAAAGACAACGTTCATAAGCAATGATTAGTTGTGCTGCCATAATTTCATGTCATTTGAATTAAAGAGCATTATAGAAAATTATCAATAAATTAAGGGCAACACCTTCAAATAATAAAAAAAGGTCAAAATATGATAACTATGATGATAACTTGCTAATAAAAAGAGAAACACCAGCATAACGAGTTGAATTACTCAAGAAGTTTTTTTTCCCTCTTAAAAAGATAAATAATATACGACTTAATACACTTAAGTGTTTTCTTGAGGCAAAATAATAGAATTTTATGGTCTTTCTTCTTACTCTTTAAGTATCGGAAGTTAAGATTAACAAAGTATTAGTGATTTGGAGATGTCCTTGTTGATAGCTTCCAAGAACTCCATTGACTTATGGAGTGAGTAATAGGCCTTAGTCTCTTCATTCTAAAGTACAACTAAAAAATATTTCTATTGTTTGAAGTGTTGAGGTAATGAATAAAGGGATAAGAATAGAACTTCAATCAACTGAAGTCAATACTCTCTCCATTATCCCTTCTTTGAGGCCCATAACCCAATGATAATTTAATTCTCTATCTTAGAGTAGGCAAGGAATAGATTAGCTTAATCTTAATGGAAGAAAAAATGGAAAAAAAAATGGTTTACCTCTATGGGATTGAGTTAAGATATTTGATCTCAGAGAAATTGATATGGGCATTAGTCATCAATTCTAAACTACTACTTCAATGCTCTCAAACTTGTGGAATTTAAGCCAATCTCTTATCATTAGCTTAAAGTTACACTATTAAATTCATATCGCTCTAACAGACTCTCCATAGAGAAAATAAACAATAATTTTTTAAAAAAATTCTGTTTTTATGATATAATATAATATAAACAATTATATACCATCTAGACATATAAAAATTATATTATATAACATATTTGAATAAAGTTCTAAAATAATATTTATGTTCTTAAATATTTTCTCCTATCTAATATGAGTAAATTGGGATTTATTTTATTCTGTTGTATAAATTTTCCATAAATTAAAACAAGCTCTTATGATTACTTACGTCGCAAAAAAAAAAGTGATATCATTACAGAACTCTCGATTAAATATTGACAAATATTTTTATAATTTTAAAGTTTAGGGAGTGATATTCTTTTGAAATTTTGGCTTGGTTTGATTCAAATTTGAAACAATTCTTTTTAATAGTTAACATACGAAAAGTAGATAGCATTGGATTTTAAGAAATTCAAAAGTAATCCAAATTATTCAATGTTATACTTTAAATTTTTGAAAAATTGAATTTATCATTTTAATTGTTCATTTTATTAAAAATTTGAGGCTTATATTTTATTAATAAAAGACTGAGAAATAACTCAAAAAGTTAGAGCTTATAATATAATAAATCAGCCTCAATTCTTAAAATTAAGGTGAACACTATCGAGTAATAACTCAAATCTAAATTAAAAAAAAAAAAAACAGTCATTATTGGCGATCTATGAAATCGGGCTTCAGATATTTTGAAAAAAAAAAACAAATTATTAAATTGAGGATTAATTTTCTTGTGGGAGACAATGACAATTTTGGAGTTACTGTGACAATAAATTGTTGCTGGAAAGTTAGACCATCTCTATGCACCAAAGATAATATAAAAAATAAGCAATATTAAAAAAAAATTAAAAACACTTTAACCATTATAACTAAGCGTGCAAAAAACAAAATTATCGGTGAATTTGCAGATCCTTATCTTAAGAGCCACCCTCCTCCTCAACAAACTCATCATTATCCTGAGATTATTTCTTTAATCTATCATATTTATAATGAAAGTCATCCTTTTAAGCGAAAAGAGAGAGAAAAACGAAAGGACAGAGAGAGCAACACAAGGAAAAATTATTAGGTCCGGACACTGGACGTAGCTTTACATCCGGACGTTAATAATGTGTCGTCACGTGCTCTTACTTTTTATCGCGTAGCCCGACGACTCGGACCCGGTGTTGCTATGTATTGGCTGATTTGTGCAACCGGGGTATTACTAGGTATTGCTCGGTATTGGTCGACAATAACGAGAAATACCAATCTTTCAAGATCAATACCTAGCAATACCGAGCAATACCTAGCAATATCCCGGTTTTGCTAGGTATTGCTTGGTATTGCTAGGTATTGGTCTTGACAGAACGGTATTTCTCGTTATTGCCAAGTAATACCTAGCAATATCAGAACATAGCAATACTGGATTCCGATCTGGGTCAGGTCGTCGGGCCGCGCGATAAAGAGTAAGAGCATGTGGCGACATATTATTAGAGTCCGAATGTAGAGCTATCTACGGTGTCCGGACCTAATAACACAAGAGATAATGAGAAGAGAAATAAGGAGGCAGAAAGAGAGAGAAATGGTCTGGGAGTAAAATAAGTGGAAATAAATTTTTATTTAATCGTTAATTAGGTCAAAGATATCTTATATAGGGGGGTTTTTGACTTATTGCATAGAAATCGGCTACATAACCGCTAAAATTACAATAATATTTGAGTAAATATTAATAACGATAAAATAAAATATAAATATAATAATTAGTCATGATGCATGGCGTTACTCCATGGAGAATAATCTAGATTAGTCGCATCAAAACAATATAGATAATTAACTATTTAAACTACCATTTTTAATTTTAGAGATATATATATATATATATATATGTTGTGTGCTAGAATATACGCGGCAGTAGAGTTAGAAAGTATTCGTCTTAGCGTTGTACGAGTATTCCCAACACAAACAGAAAAGAATATGTAAACACCAGAGTTTTTACGTGGAAAACCCAAAAAGGGAAAAAACCACGGGGCCGAGGGAAAGCGACAACAGCAATCAGTATCGCGGTGGAGGAATAACCATTAATGAAAGAAGAAATATAATGGCTGAATTTACCGTTAGTTAACTAGTTTATGGTCCTGTTTCACGGCTTTTTGTTGCCTGTTGGATGTTCTGCGAGCTCCAGGCTGGGATTATCTCCAGCGAAATAATTAGACTCAATTTTTTTAGGGGGGAAGTAAATGAGAATGCTCAAAATAAACAAGAGCGCAATTAATAATTACTGCGAAAATGCTTTTTTTTTCTTCTTTTTGAAAATGAGGAACTATTTCTTTCGAAAATATTTTTAGTATTTACCCATCTTAGTGGTAAACAACAGAAGATGGTGTGATATATATTCATTTGAATTAAGGTTTATTTTTGAATATTTTTTTTGCTATTTTAAAAGTAGATTTTTTTAATAATAAAAAAAAATGTTCTGAAATATCTTGTATAGAAATTAGTAGAAAAGAGAAAATATCTCATAAACATGAATTAAACTTTTGATGGAAGCCAAGGAAATAATTGAAGCAAATCACAACTCTATGTAAACATAAGCGTGTGTCGGTTGCTTTTTTTTCAATTGAGCGTGGATAGGCCAACTCGTCGCCTACATCTAACATTTAATTATTGACATTGCATTTTGTTTAGCAACTAAAGATGAAATGAGTCAACAACCAATCCTCGTTTAATCACTTAAGCAATTGACCATTTTTAGCCAAGCTAAACTAAAGAATTTGGTCTAAGTGCCACGCCAACTTTGAGTATGGTCCCATCCATTGCGTTGTTCAAAAGTTGCTAAAAAACTTTATTTCTCAATAGTAGATCAATTATCAAACTAAACCTCAAATGTCATTATTGTATAAGAAATCTAACAGTAAATGGAAAAGGGATTTAAGAAAAGAACTCAATCACTAAAGTTCCACTACTCTCTCCATTATCTCCTTCTTATGAGGCCCATCATAACCAATGATAATTTTTACTTCTCTATCTTAGGTAGACAAGGAAGAGATTAGGCTTTAATCTTTAATGGAAGATAATGAAAAAAAAAAAGTAATTTTTAACCTCTATGGACTGAGTTAGGATATTTGATCTTAGAGAATTGGCATAGGCATTAGTCATCACTACTCAACTAATTACTGTCAATGCTTTCCAAGGCTCATGGGAATTTAGCCAATCAACTTCATCATTGCTCTAATATTACACTATTAAAATCATATTTGCTCTAACGAACTCTCTTGGAGAAAAATAAAACAAATATATTTTTTTAATATCTTTTTTAATGATATAATATAATATAACTAATTTATTAGCCAATCTAGACATATAAAAATTATATTATTAACAGCTATTGAATAACAGTTCTAAAATAATATTAATGT